CAGTGTTGTCATGGGACATTGATGGGACACTGATGGGACAGATAGGACATTTGAGACTTAGTGTGGGACAGGTTGGGACATATAGCTGGGACAACAAATCTCTGGGACATCAAAAAATGTACATCACTGATTATAATATCACCAGCTTGTGCTATGACTTTGGAAGAAGTTGAATCAAAGCCTTCTAAAAAACCTAAGCGTGCAATCAGAAAAGATGAGGAAATAAAATTACAAAAAGGTACAGCAGTTAGATATCTGTTAAAAGTAGGTGAATTGGAAGGAGACCATAGACGTAGAGCAACTGATCTGTACTGGAGTTTGCGTGTCTATAGAATAAAAAGAGTCATTTTTAGAAGAAATCCACCACAACCAGTATTATATTATCTCAAAGGTGAATCCATTGAATCAACTGCCCATCTGATGGGATAAAATCCAAAAAGACCCTTTAAATATGAAGAACTTAAGTAGTTGAGGAACCCGATAAAATTGAGTATCCACCTGATGGAATTATGCGAAAATATCATCCTACTGGATTTATCTATTATATTCAAATTGCTAATGATAATTTAACCGAAGCTCATCAATATACTGAAAAATGTGGTGGCTAATGTCTAGAAAGAACTGAGCGAGTAAATGATCATAATGTTTATCTTTGGTTCTGTGAGAATGATGCGCATCAGTGGGAGTATCCATTAAAATATATTGTGAAAAAATTTGAATAGTATCCTCTATGCCACTATACTACTGAAAGAAATTGCCGATACATTTTTGAGGATCTGCTAGGCAAGAAATTCTCATCTTGCAGATCATCATTTTTGAATGGGATGCAATTAGATGGTTATAACGAAGAATTAAAATTGGCTTTTGAATATCATAGATCCCAACACTATAGTCTTAATTCAATGTTTCATAAGAAAGGCCAGATATATTTAGATGAAAAAAATCCCAAGATCAAAAAAGCGAGATATATGTAAGCAAGAAGGTATAAGTCTTATCTCAGTGCCCTACACATGTGACCTTTTTCTCTACATCAGGTATATACTAATTGAAAAGGGATATTTGAATGATGCAAGTAGATAAACTAATCTATTGGACAGGGTATTTATTGTCAGAACTTGAGAAATTGTTACATTATTTTTCGATATAATAATTATTTAGATCAAATTATGAAATACGTAATATTCGCAATGAACGAAGTCAAACCCTCGAAAAAATATCAGGATGATCTTCATGCACCAGTATGACTTTTTCAAATTATAGTTGCAGGGGCTAGCAATTCGGATAAAACGAATATAATTCTAAACCTGCTGGTGATGAACAAATTTTACTATATGTTTGGGAAAAAAAGAGTTCTAAAATAGGTGAGCGTAATGTTAAATGCGATGACGTGATATTTTGTGGCCACCATCTTAACGAACCTAAATATGGAATTGTTCAAAACTTTTATAAATATCTTGCACAAGATAAATCTAAGCCATACTATGAAGATATCACATTTTTTACACTCATTCCTGATAAAATTCCAGACCCAAAAAAGTTCAATGTTAAAAGAAGTAAACTAATGATATTTAAGAATGTCTGCTCAGACCCTCCAGCTATATAAAAAAAATTATTCCATATTTTAGTAGAGGTCACCATGAGAATATTTCTTCTATTTATATCTCACAAAAATTTCACAGGATTCTTATGGATATTCGTGAAAATGTAACGTATATTGTACTCTTCAGTGGTGGAGATTCAATCTGAAAACTTGCTGATATTATAAGTCCTTATACAGATGCTGATCTGCACAAAGTTTCAAAGGTCATCGATGGTTATTTAAGACAAAAGGAATTTGTAGTCATCGATATAAATAAACCAAGATCTGAATCCTTTTCAGTTTGATGAAATACTCCGCTCAATTTGAAAAAGAAAATCAAATTGTTGGGCAATACTTTTAACTAGCTGTGCTGGCAACTAATTATCTGATAATCATTTACCCGCCAAATCCCAAAATGTGTATTTTTTCTGAACCTCTAGGTCATATTCAGATTCTCTATGTCGTTTCGCCTATAATTTATTTTTATGAGTGCTAGAATATATTTCCAGTTCTATAGTCACATCACTATGCTTCATTTTGAAAAGGATCTGATCAACAAGAGCGATAATTTTCCTATCCTTAGCAAAAATAATATCCTTCAGATGTCAGTATTTATTCTCTAACAAGTCAATGGACTTTTCAGCTGATGTAATAGCTTTTCTCGTATCAGGAATTATACTTTTGAAAAAAGCTACTGAATTTGATAATTAGGTGACTTTCTCACCACTCTCTTCCAAAGACCT